GAAAGCATTTGAAAAACCATTGTTCTGAATGTCTCTGACACAAGGCAGATACCTAAGTAGGTAGATGACTTACGTATTCTGTCTTTAATGCTAGTAAGTAGCTTTGCTAAAGTATATTATGTTGTCTAATAAACCTCTAAAACTAAGCTAGCTGTAATGACCTGTCCTGGTGATGGTCATCCCTATCCTGTATGAATGAGGAAAAGCTACTAAAATTCAGAGATACTACACAACACATCCAGTGACACAGACTGCAAAAGACTATGAGTAAGAACAATACTATGAAATAAGCTATTTGCTGTAACAGGCCAGTAAAGACTTAAAGATTTAAAAAAGAAAGCACCAAAAAATTGAGGTGGTCTGCTAATAACCAGCTAGCAGAATGACATTTGGTATTTAACATAATTAAACCTACCCAGACACTTGAGATAGGGTGAAGGAAAGAATATTAGGTTTAAACAGGTTCCTATGGGAAGCCTCCATCATTCCCAAATGAAAACAACTGATTTTACTCCATAAATTAGTTACATAAATGTATGTTACTTAACTGGAAGTCCCATAAGTTCCTGAAAAATGCCCCCCAAAAGCCCATATGGAATTAGCTGCAAAGGAGTGGTGTTTGTTTTTTTTTAGGTATGATTACAGAATACGCCATTACTACTGGATTTACCCACAAATCCTGATTCATGGAATCTATATTTGTCCTGTTGTGAAATCCACCTGGAGTAGAGGAGACCACTAATACAGGCTGAAATCTGGCCTAACAGTCTTAGCAGGGCTCTCAAAGTTTAGGTTATGGCAAAACAAACCGAAACACTAGTAATGAAGTAGTAAGTAAAGGAATCTTACATCAAAAATTCCTAGGAAAGAACTCTGTGATCCTTCAGAGTGGCTGCTTTCGCTCACTGTAGCTGTAACACTGTAGTTAATGTTGATTGACCACGTTAGAAAAAATCCACTGGAAAATATTTCCATTTCTTTAAATAGTACGGGTTTTTCCCTTCCCCCGCTTTCCCGTGTCCGAAATGCAGGCACGCCGTTGCCCTGCCAGCAGAACCACCTTT